CCTTGCCTTTTTCTTGCGCTTACAAAACATCAAAGAAATAAAAAAAAAAACAACAACTATAATAAAATGAATCGATCAAATATCATATGGCACATGTCAATCGAGTTTTATATTTTAAATAATATTAAATAAACTCAACATATGTAATACAAAAACAATAACATATGATGTTGATAGGTTATTTTTTGATGTTCGAAATATTTATTTATTTTCAAGAAAAATTCAATTTCTAATAGAAAAAGAAAAGTACATAATGTTAGCAAAAAAATATGTAATGAATACTTTGTAAAGATTAGAAGTTACTATTTTACATGACTCGATTGTTGATTGATACTGACATTGTTTCCGTAATGTTTGAAGGCATGCTTTTTTTGTTCTCGCTAAGCAAAATTTCTACTTCGTATATACTGAAATTATTTTGTTTTAATCATTGTTATTCACCGTATAACTTTTGACCTTATTTTAATTATGCAGGTGCACTTCTTTTTTATTAAATCATAATTTTGATTTGCTTCTACGCATTTTGTTGAATATTTTAAGCTAAATAAGAAAATATCTTATGTTCAATATAGGAAATTAATATGTCTAAGAAGGGTATTATAGAACGTTCAGGAAAAACACTTTCATTAATACTCGATTATCTAGTTTATGATAAGGATATTTAATTACTACTCTCCATGCAAACTTTAAAACCATATGAAATAAAATTCGTTAACGCACTGTTTTTATTCTCCATATCAAATTACACATAAAATCCTCTACACTATCATAAAAAAAAGAATCAGATATATATAAAAAAAAAAACGTTGAATACTAATAAAATCGTTCAATGAATTTAATCATTGTATTATTTAAGTTTTTTATCAAGTGTTGCTTTAACTTCATTAATAAATTCTTTTGTATTTAAATACATGTCTTCTTTAATACTAAAAATATAAATAGATCTTTTTTGTATTTTGTTTCTTAAATTATGTAAATCATACTTTTTAAGACCATGAATACTAGCAGCAAGATCTTTTGTCATTTTTTGAGAATCAACTGTTTCTATACATGCTTCCTCAAGTAATCGACACCAACTAGAAAAGAAATATGTTTATATAAAAAAAGAAAAGAATTATCTACCGTTGAAGTTCTTCATTTCCATCAAGTTTTCCACGATGATCAAGACCACGTGTCCATGCAAATATACTTGCAATTGGATTTGTACTAGTTGCTTTTCCCTGTAAATAAAATAAGAGTTCTTTTTTTCTTGTTTTTGAATTCTTTATTGATTAATTGAACCTTTTGATGTTCACGATAATGACGTGTTACAGTACCATGTGCAGCTTCAGCTTCAATTGTTTTACCATCTGGACAGACAAGTACAGAAGACATAAGACCAAGACTACCATAACCTAGGGAAAATTCAATAAAATAGATAAAATTCTTCGATTATTAAATACCTTGTGCAACAATGTCTGATTGTACATCACCATCATAATTTTTACATGCCCAAACAAAACCACCACTACTTTTAAGTGCTTGAGCAACCATATCTATTAAAATGAAACCTTTATAGATCAATAAAAGACAATAAAAGAGCTATACCATCAATTAATCGATGTTCATACCAAATTTTTTTGTCTTCAAATTCTTTTTTATATTGCTTTTGATAAATTTCTTCAAAAATATCTTTAAAACGACCGTCATATTTTTTAAGAATTGTATTTTTTGTTGACATATACAATGGATAATTCTACAAAAACGAAATCAAAATATTTCCTTACAAATAAAATAATTATTCATCTTTATACTTTTTCAAGTGCAAATTTAAAACATGAATGAGCAAATCCAGTTATAGATTCATCAGTATTATACATAGCTAATGTAACACCACCGGTAGTTTTAAAATTATATACTTCAACTTCTGTTTCTGGTGAACCATCAGCTGGAACATATTTAAGTGTAACACGTCCTGGATTTTTAATAACCATATCTTGACAACGATATTGATCACCAAATGCATGACGACCAATTATAATGGGTTCTTTCCAACCAGGAACTAACAATGGAATTGTTTTACATATAATGGGTTCACGAAAAACTGTACCACCCTAAATAGATCAAAGTTTATGTTTTCATATTCTTTTTTTGGTTTTTGAATTTGATTTACAAGAATATTACGAATGGTGCCATTAGGTGAAAGCCACATTTTTTTTAATTTAAATTCTACAAATTGAAATAAAAACCAACAATAGAAATCAATTTATTTTTACCTTCAACACGTTGTTCATCGGGTGTAATTGTTGCACATTTAATACCAACATTATATTGTTGAATAGCATGTGCTGCATCAACAGTTACTTGATCATCAGTAGCATCACGATTTTCAAGACCCAAATCAAAATATTTGCATTCAACATCAACATAAGGGAAGATAAGCTATAAAAAGAAATGTATAATTTATCTTCGATATAAAATAAATAAAAAAATACAAACCATTTCTTTAATCCAAGCCCAAATGATACGAGTCATTTCATCTCCATCTAATTCAACAACTGGATTAGTTACTTTAATACGTTTCTGAGATGCATTACTATTCGAATCTAGGATAAAATAATTTTATTTATAAAGATAAATATTATACTCGAAATAGTTTTATACGTGAAGGTTTAGTGTTTTCATTTGAAGACATTGTTCAAGTCGCACTTGATTTTACTAAAGAGATGAATGAATTTGTGATACGATAGTACAACACGAGATACGACTAAGAAAGAACGAAACAAACACAAAAGACAATTTAGTAATCTAAACAAGAACGAGAAAAAAGAAACGACAAAATCGAGAAAGTAAAGAAACGAAAGAGACTAAAACCCAACAGAAAAAATATGCAAGGTATATATGATTTCATATACAAAAATTAAAAAGAACAAAATTATAATAAATCAGGAGAGAATTTGTATGAAAAGATTGTCGCTAGATTATTGATAATTAAAAAGTAATTGTCTCATTTTCTCGATACAAATTATTTTTAGAGGTAAAAGTTTGACAATAATGAAAAAAGGTCTACCAATAGACAGAGAGGCTATATTACTCATCATGACATCATTCTCTTGCGAAAGAACAGGAAAAATCCAACACATTCTCGTGTATATATACTGCATGAAATAGTATCAAACGTTTTCTTTCATCATTACTACAAACTTCTTTCACTTCGTATTCTAGATGGCTAAACCTATCTTATTTTCATCATTAACTACAAAACATGATGCAGAAGATATAATACCAAAATGGCTTGGTTGTCCAAGAAAATCACAGATTATTGATGGTATACATCAGTGAATCTTTTAATTTGAAATAATTTTACATTTAAATATATATAGGAAAATTTGTTGCATTTAAAATGCCAATAGTAGATCAAAATAAAGATATTGTTCCAATACATCAGCAATGGTTATGTAAAATGTTAATTCAGAATATCAAAGATGATAATGTAAAAATTAGTTGTAGTTGAATATAAAATTATTCTTTCTTCATATATAGAAAAAGCTCGGTCTTGTCATTGACCTAAATGATACAACACCATACTATACAATTGAAACTGAATATATTAAAAAATATATACGTTATGAAAATATTCCGTGTCATGGGTAAGAATTATCTTCCACATATATCTGATGGAATATAGTTCATAGAATTCAATAGATAAGCTTCTAAAAAAAGTAAATCGAAATTTTACTTGTAATGTTGTAAAAAAATCGATTTCGAGTAATATCAAATAAGATTAGTCTATAACTCTGTTTTCTTGGATTCAATAATGAAATAAGAGAAGAGCAATCATAAACTTAATCAATGTAAATTGTATAAGAGAAACATTTTCGTAAATTCGTCTATCAATTGAATAAATAACTATCAGATTTTTTTATAAACTAAACAGAATGTCACAATTCTCTAGTCATGTCTTATTAACATATATATTTATAGCCATGATGAAATGCCAAAGGATACTCAAATTCAACGATTCATTGACATATGTCGTGATTTCAAAAATACTAATCCAAATGATATTATTGGTATACTTTATTTTTTTTATATTTGTTTCATATTCTAATTTTATAATTGCAAAGGTGTTCATTCAACATATGGTTTCAATCGAGCAGGATTTTTTATCTGTGCTTATCTTTGTCAAGAAAGTAACATGAGGCATGAAAACATGAAGAAATAGTTTAGTTTGGAAAATTAATTATATTTTAATTTTTAAGGATCGATAAAGCTATCGATCTATTTGCGACTGCTCGATCACCAGGAATTTTTAGTCAAATCTATCTAGACAAACTTATTCAAAAGTACGGTGATGAAAGCATTAAATCAAGACGTGCACCATCTCTACCAACATGGTGTTCAAGTAAAGATTTATTTTTCCTTTTATACAGTTTTAGTATTATTTTTTTAAGTAGCTGGATTAACTAAATCAACTACAAATAAACGACCACGTGATGATACGAACTCTGAAAATGACAGAAAACGAACTCGACATGAAATATACACAGTAATATTTATATTATTTATTGAAAAATCTTATGTGTTATTTAAATCAAATTTTTTTTAGAAATCTTGTCCAAAATTTGCTGTTAAACTTGCTAATGTTCTACCTATCGATTCAAAATCAACTCTAGATCGTATTCGATCAAAATGCCAAGGAATGTGCAAATGGGATCGGTAATTTTGTTAAAAAAAATAGTTTTAAAAGCTAGTTTTTATTTATAGACAAAGTTTCCCAGGTTCACAACCTGTATCTATGGATTCTAACAATTATAGAATGATTTTGCAAACACCTTATAAAGTCAGTTGGAAAGCAGATGGTACTAGGTAAAATAAAAAACATATTTCTAATATTTTACCTGATCTATTTCAATTATAGATATATGATGTTAATCGAAGATAAAAATAATATCTATATGATCGATCGTAATAATGATGTATTTCAAATAAAGTATCTATGGTTTCCAGAAGTCCCAGATTGTACAAATCATTTAGAGAATACACTTCTTGATGGCGTATGTTATCTAATAATATATTAAATTTATTCGAATTCTTTTCATTTTAGGAATTTGTGATTGATAAGGTTGATAACAAAGAGATTTATCGATATTTAGTTTATGATATCGTATACTATAATGTATGTACAAGAAAATTTATTAAATTAATTAAAATAAATCTTTTTTATGTAGAATGAAAATGTCAGTCAACAATCATTTACAAAACGCATGGAAAAATATCAAAATATTATTAAAGTTAGAAACGAAGCTGTAATCAAGGGTCATATTGATGACCGTTCCAAACCATTTTCAATACGTGCAAAAGATTTTTGGGATCTATCAGCAGTTTCGGAAGTAAGAAAATAGAAATGATTTTTAAGATTTCAAGTAACTAATACAATTATTATAGTTACTCGGTGATAAATTTCAATCACAACTTCTTCATGAAAGTGATGGACTTATATTTCAACCGGTTAATGATGTAAGTAGAAATCCACATTTATTTAATATGATATATGAATTATTATATAGCCTTACATATCCGGTCGATCTTGGCGAATATTAAAATGGAAAACAGATAATACAATTGATTTTCAATTGATAATTGCTAATAAAAGGTATTTATTTATTATTTTAAATATTAAACTATCTAATTTTTTTAGAAAATCACACGAAAAAGAAGCTCTTCTATATTTGAATAATATGAGAGAGTCATACAGCTCAATGCCTTACTCATCGAAATTAGACCAATATCATAACAAAATCATTGAATGTTCCTATCAAAATAAACAATGGATGTTCTATCGACATCGCAGCGATAAGACATATGCTAATGCAAAAGGTATGTCGTACTTCGAAAACTTATTTTTCCAAATTATCATTATTTTCTTTTTATTTAGCTACAGCTGATGGTAAATTTCTACGATATTTAATATATTTATTTTTCATATTTATTTAGGTGTTATGAATGCAATAAAACATTCTATATCCAAAGATCTTCTATGTTCTATTATAAACGACGATATAGCATATGCAAATTATTTATTGGAATTAAGTTAATTAACTATTTTAAAAACGAATACTCTTTTCTAGTCCCTCCAATGTATAGTTTTTTGTTTTATTATTTTTTGTTTGTTAATAAAAAAAAATATATGTAGAAATATAAATGTAACACTTGTATTGTTAATTTAATAGATTATAAAAGAAACGTACTATTTTGTGATATATTATTAATCTATGAAGATGTGTGTAATAATTACCGTACGTTATCAGTAGGAAAAGATGAATTGAATTATTAAAAACTACATAATCAAACGTAGAATATTTATTTCACTAGAGTATTTTATTGTTATAGTATGAATGTATAGCGCCATTTCTTTGATCTCGGAAACAATGTATATATATTTTTCTCAAGAAAATAATTTGTTCTTTCGTTTGTTCGATAAAATATTCTTAAATGATAAACATATCATTGTATTTAATCAAAACATATTGACATTCGCTTTTTAATCTGAAAAGGTCGAATAAAAACTCATTAATCAAAACACTGATTTCTCTTTTAAATTTGAATTGTGATGATAGCAGATGTGTATCAATTTATCAACTGAGATCACGTCGCTTTCGTTCTCACTTTCTCTTTCCGCTTCTGTGTCAATGATATCTGTTTCCTTGTGTTTTTGTACGACAAATGATAGAACAGAACAAGTAACGTGTGCGTGTTGTTTACATATGTTTAAAACGTGTACATATATAATGAACAATCCAGATCGTAGATAAAAAGCAAAAACACAAAATGAAAAAAAAAACAAAATTTTTAATCTTGAAGTTCTTGTTTAATTGTTGTTTCGATTAATTTTGATTTTGTATTTGGTAGATTATGATCTTTTTTCCATTTCATACGTCGATTTTGAAACCAAATCTATAATAATCAAGAAAAGTTTAAAAAAAACAAGAAATGATGAAATTTACTTTAACTTGTCGTTCAGTTAACATTAATGTTCGTGCTATTTCAATTCGTCGTCGACGATTTAAATATTTTTTAAAATGAAATTCTTTTTCAAGTTCAAGAATTTGACTACGTGTATATGCTGTTCGAATACGTTTATATGTTTCAGTACCATCAGTATTTTGAACGAGATTTTTAACATGTAATTTTTTCATCCATGGATAAATAATATTCGAAGAAATTGTTTCACTATTAGATTTTGTTAATCTTAATGAGAAAAAATTAATGTTTAATAATTAAACTAAGTTATCCTACTCAGAAATACTATTTGCATGAGTTGAAGGATCTGTTGGAGGAGTAGTAGTAGTATGCTGTGTGAATGATGGATAAGTATTATAATGTGTTGAACAGGTATTAGCTGTTGCTGATGGATAACAATTCGATGGAGTATAATAATCATAATACGAGGATGAAGATGGTGGCGGTGGTGGTGGTGGACAAGACGATATATTATAACAAGTTGTTGAATGATTTTGGGAGGGATATAATGGAAAAGTATCAGATGTTGATGGTAATGGCCATTCATGATTATAATGATACGAATTTTGATATGATAAATCCATTTTTATACTAGACTAAATATAGTAAAAATATTGTTTCTTCAAAATGATTGTCAATGTTATCGATTAGATACTCATATTGATAAATAATCAATTTTATCTACTATCAGTGGATATTTTTCTACTCGATAATATATTTCTTAGTAGTTTCTCAAAAAAATCTTTGTATTTTATTTGAAGAAAAAAATCTGATTTTTATACTATATGAAAAATTACTTGTGTAAATGACACTCAATCTTCTCACCATAATCATTCTTACATAGATATTCAGTAACTTTGATTATCATTCAAATGATCATTTATTCTGTCTGTTGTATAGAAGTTATTCTCTCATTCTACAATACTAATTTCGCATCGTTCTACGATTGGCTTTTTCCTTTTCTTGTATCTCATATAAGTGATATATTTATTTCTATCATATAAATATTAACAACCAATCCGTTTCAATGATGAGACTATAGATCATACATATATCTTCTTCTCTGTTCGTTCGTTCGTTTTCAAGATAGAGTATCAAGCAGAAAGAAGTCGGTAGAAATAGCAGACGAGTTAGATATATCATTTTTTTCCCTATCATGTATATATTGTAAAAGGCGGCAAATATCAATCAAAAAGAACTTAATAATTTTGTCCAAATCTTAATTAGTTAGCTTGTAATAATAGCTTATTGACAATTGATGAAAAGACAAACAACATATATATATATATAATATGATTGTAAATAAGAACGTTTATGTATTCAATTTAATTTAAAAATATTCTTTATTGATTGAAAATGTGTTGAGTAATAATGAGATTGAGAGGCTTTGATTGTCTGGCTGAATGAGTAGTAGTAGTAGTAGTAGTGCTCATATGTTGTCTCATTCTCACTTCAACGCAACAATACGGTGATGATGATGATGAAGAATGGTGTTATTTAATCTTATCCTGTTCTAATCTATGGAGTGTATATGAATAAAGAGAACGTTTAGTGAAAATGTCACACAATACAATAGGTATGTACGTTGTTGTTTGTTCAATGAAGATGTTTGGCCACACATAAACATAATCACCCTTACATAAACGATATAATCAAGCTCATAAAACAAGGATATAACGAAAGATAAAGTTCAATGTATGAATGATGGTACGTTTCTTGCTTCCATAAAATTCTTTCGTAATATATATGAATATTTTCTTTTTCTAGATCTTCCGATGTTTTATTATTATTATTTTCTTTTTACAAATCATATTTTCAATACCAGTGATAAAGAAAAAACCAAATCATGAATCTGGTATTTTTGAAAATAACATAAAAAACAAAATTTTCTTTTTTTTCGCTCATAGAATTATCTGTTTCTGATGATGATAAGCATTGTTATGCATGTAAAGATTCAGATGATGAATGTGTTACACCATGTCATTGGACACAACGTTGTTATATCAAAGCAAAACATGCGAATGCAACCAGTTTGTTTTTTATGGAATTTTTCCATTGTTTATAATTCTTAATTATAGTTCATGAACGACAATGTACAACAGAACGTTGGGCACGAGAATTACTTATTGATGGATGTATAACATATATGAAAACTTATTGGTGTATGTGTTCATCAGATATGTGTAATGGAGGTGATCTTGATTCAATACGAGGTTATTAGTTGTATAAATATTTTCTCTTTCTTCATTAAAAACAAAACCTTTTTTTTGCTTAGGATATGAAGATTGTTTAAAAAATCCATGTCAAGATGGAACAATATGTCTTGATACAAAAGAAGGTTTTACTTGTATTTGTGCACCTTGGCAAGAAGATTGTACAAGATGTTGGTTTTCGAAAAAAAAAAGAATAATTTAATTTTGAATGATTTTTTTTTCTTTCGAAATATTTATTAGCTTATCAAGTTGGATGTAGTTGTAAAAATGGTGGACGATGCGTGATGAATTATGGTTCATATGGATGTGAATGTCCATATGGTTACACGGGAATTAATTGCGAAACATGTATGATATCTATTTTGTTTTATTATGTAGAATATTGATATGATTATCAAGTTTTTAGTAACTGGTTTGGTTCCGGAAGAACTTCTTCCATTATTATTGAAAGAAGCAGCAGTTGAAAATGGCGAAGAAGGTATGTATATGATCTTATCAATTGTGAATAAGAGAGATTGTCTTCTAGAATCTGAATCTTCACCATGTGCTGGAGAACCATGTGGACTTGAAGGTGTTTGTATTCCAATGCCAGAAGATAAATATGTATGTTTATGCCAAAATCGTGTTATTGCTGCGAAAAGTTGTAATGAAGGTAAGAGAATTACGTTCTTATTTAAAAATAATTCCATTAAATTTTTTTAGCACGAATGGATCCATGTGCACCACATAATCCTTGTCGAAATGGTCGTTGTATCTCAAATGAACGTGGTGGTTTTCAATGTAAATGTCGAACAGGATGGTCAGGTCGTCGATGTGATCAAGGCACGTGAGATACATGACAAAAAAAGATAACAATTCTCTTTTAAAATTTGCTTATTGTAAAGCTAATTACCATCAACTAAAAGATCTTTGTCTAATAGAAGAAAATATTTATTTTAATATACTCATTTTTATCGAATAGTTATTTTTAGTGAGCAGTTATTGTGCCAAATATAATCCATGTGTACGTATTACTATTTTTTGTATAAGTTTTGATTTTCTAATTATAAATTTAAGTTAAATAATGGAACATGTCATGATGATGGAGATTCCTATCGTTGTCAATGTTCAGATAATTTCATGGGTCATCGATGTGAAAGAAGTATTCAAATTTTTTAAAATCCTTTTCATTGAATATAAATAATTTTCTTTGTATGTACTTTAATTAGCGGAAAAAAGTTGTTCATCACCTCAATGTTTTAATGGTGGTGTTTGTGTTAATACAGCTACATCATTTAAATGTATTTGTCCAATTGATTACGAAGGACAACGATGTGATATGAGTAAACTATTTCTTATTTTTACATAAATAAATAACATATTTATCTTTTGTTTAGAATGGAATGATTGTGCTAGTCATTCGTGTCAACATGGTTCAACATGTGTTGATGGTATTGCATCATATACATGTCAATGTTCAAAAGGTTTTACCGGAAAATATTGTGAAATTAGTAAGATATTCTTATTAAAATAATCTGAATGAATTAAAATTCTAATTGAAAAGATATTGATGATTGTCGAATGGATTCATGTATGAATAATGGTACATGTATAGATCTTGTACATGATTATCGTTGTCAATGTTTACGTGGGTTTACAGGACGTATGTGTCAGTATGATTTAAGTAAATGTAATGAAAGTCTTTGTCGAAATTTTGGTACATGTTATTTGGGTTTTGATGGTTTTGCTCAATGTAATTGTAATCAAATTTATACTGGAGTTTTTTGTGAAACTCGTAAGAGAAAAACAAAAAAAAAGGAACAATTAGTTTGACTTTATTTTTATATTTTTAGGTGTTCATCCTTGTTTCCCGAATCCATGTACAAACGGGGGAACATGTGTAGCCAGAGGAAATAAAGTTGCATGTTTATGTCGAAATAAATTTACTGGAAATCAATGTGAAAAACGTGTTGATGTTTAATAATGTTCATTTGTCATTTTCCTTTTTTCTTTTTTCTTCTTTGAATAAATTATATATAAAAAGAATTTTTTGTTTTTTTGCATATTACAATAGCAGGGTTTGCCCGTAATGAAGAGCGATAAAAAACTTTCTTTTATTTTTGCGGTTTAAAGGCTATGCTGCTTTTTATTGATGTTTTACGGAATAAAAGAATAATAGGAAATTTTACTTTATTGAAGTTTTTTTGTTTCGGAAAAGAAACGACATTTTCCTCAATCGATTCTTATGCTAAATAAAACACGGATATAAGAAAATATGTCATTAGATAAAAAATTCTGTAAATTTAATCATGTAGACAATCATTTAATCGACAATAAAAAAGAAACGATGCATTTAGTAGCATCTTAAAATAGGCATGCACATCAAAATTTGATCATCGAATTATTCGTGACATTTTGCCGTTATAACACTTAATTAAATTAAAAAAGAAAATTTCTTTTTGTAAAAGTACGATACATTACCTCTCTCAATTAAAAATAATCATGTATTAAAGAATATAAGTAATACAGATTTTAAATCATAAATAATATGAGAATAATTGAAAGATTATATACAATAGAATACTTTCAGATTGATTTTTATCTCTAAATAATGTAATTTTTTTGTTATATTTATAACCTTATAAATTTATTGTAAATATTTAATGAGTTAAAATTGCATATTATCATGACATGTAAAACAATG